CGAGTCACTCGATTCCAAATCGTTTTATCACAAACGGCAACTCTTGTAGCCCTAACGGCAGGGCAGGCGATTGGTGTACTCGTGTTATTAGTGGGTGGGGCTTCATTTAGTAGGAGGAGCTGTGAACAGGTTTTACCAGCTCCAGGAGCACCAAGCATATTAACACGAGTAACAGTTAGATCAACACTCCCTTCCTCCATCCACTTCCCTACAGCATCTATATAATATAATGAAATAGTATAATTAATAAACATAGCAGGAACTGTCTTGTGTATACACAAAGAGGTCTATTACATTATTAGATTAGTGTGTGTTACATTAGTGAGTCTATTACCTAACCATTACTGATTGTGTGTATGTACTTATGATTGCTGTACTACAATGGATTCTGTTATGATTGTGAAAAGGTTTTATCAAAACAATAGATGGTTAGGAATCTCATTAGCTGCTAATACATGAAATAGAATTATTTATTGGCCGGCAAGCATGAGCGTACCTCACATAAGTGAAACATGTGTTTGGTACATGTACATGTACATGTATGTATTAATACCTTGTATTCTTCTCTTCTGATATTCATTAATGTCCAGTACTGACTGTACTACTATATCACCAGTACTAGTTACTAATAATAATAATAATAATAATAATAATAATAATAATAATAATAATAATAATAATAATTACTAGTGGGTGTGGTAACAGTTGATCCGCCCACAAATAAACTCACTATGCTTAAAATCCAATAAGTTTATTGTAATATTATTATTATTGCATATTTAATACACATTGTATCTACTAATGTATACATGTACTCACTGATTTCAATAAATCTTGTATCACTGATTTTTGAAACACCTCTCTCTCCTCCAAACTCAGTTATCCAGTGAGTGGTCTGTGTCTCATTCCAAACTGAGAGAGAATGATACCATCTATAAGTGACACTGTCTGGTATATTAGTCTATATAATTAAAAATAATGATAAAATAATATATCTGGTTAATAAAAATGATTTCTCTCTCCTCCTCCTTTCTCCTCCATTGTCAATCACACTCACAAAAATGACAACAAAGGCAAGCTTCATGAGCTCTTTCTTAAAAACTACTCATAGCATAATCTTTCATTTCTTTATCATATGCACATGTCTATACTGACCAGTTGTATTAAATTGATTATCATTGAGGAGTGACGTACATGTACAGACAGACAGATCACAGTGGTCTCGTACTAGTAGGACTCACTCATGCTCACCACAATTATATTATAATACTTACCAGTTCTTTCCATTCCATTTTGTTTATATTTAACAACCAACAGTCAATGGTAGGGGTTCCAGCAACTCCACCCACCACTAGTAGGTGTGGTCCTGAGCTACAGTTGATCAATACACTGGAATGACACTCTCTCTCCTTAGGCCATTGTACTGATCCTCCAGGATTAGGAAACTTTTTACATTTCTAAAATCATAAAAATGCATGTATTTAATTATCATAAACCACACCCACACAC